GCTAAATATACTAAATGTCAGGCTGTATCTGACAAAACAGAGGATAGGGTTCCAAGCGTCGACACTATTTATCTAAACGTCATCATGTGTACTTAGACAAAGAAATAAATATTCAAGACATTTCAACCGAGTCAGCAAATAGGGAAAATAGTAGCAAAGATTTGATAAACAGACTCTTACTCGCGTCGAGTGAATCACTTGATATCAAGTTCCTGTCCCAAATTCTCGTTCAAACGCCGTACTGTGCATTGTTTCGTATCTTTATTCTTCGAAATTAAGTGGCAAGGATTCCGGTTGCAAATAATAATTGGACAAACTATTACGTACATAGCAAGATAGCGTTATTTTATCGCATAATCTTCAACATCTTAAAATTGAATATTCAACTTTGCACGGAATATATAATCAAACTTGCTGTACGTACATGTATATTGGCGTGGTCACTATTTTCCCAGAAAATTCTGTATCTGGAGATCTCGAAACGAACAGAAGTTCGTTCGAAGATTCCATTAGCCAGTAAATGGAGTGTATAAAATGAGAGATGCCGTTTGAGATATAACGCTCATAAACCTTGACGCGTGAAAAGATGTTTTCCGTGGAACGTGTCGTTGAATGGTCGGCACGCGATCACCGTTGGAAGCTTTCGCGACGCGCGATGATCGCGTAAAACGACGGCATAAATCAAGAGGAATCGACCCAGATGGGCAAGCTTTCTTCGAAAGCGTGGCCAACAATCGAACAGCGCCGGTTGATTTATGTGCCGTGAAACGTGTTGACGTGCGTTCAAGCCGACGCACGGCCGTTGAACGCGAATCAATGTTTTGAGACTAAACGATTCGCCGCGAGCATACCACCGTTTTCTGCACCGCGATCGCGAGCGTGATTCGCTTAAAATGATAATGAGCTACGGCCACGCCGAGAAATATCACTCTGGATGGACGCTCGTGGCCGTTAGACCGAGACCACTTTGCATTCGAGTACGTATTCACCTTTGGAAGGATCGATCGAATTTCAAAGCACATCTCGGAAAAACGATCCAGCTTTAACCGTCTAACCGCGAATCATTTCCATAGTCTACTGTATTAGAACTTTATATAGAACTCTAAACACGACTTTACAGGTCGTATTATCATTAAAACATCTTTATTACGATACAACGAAAACGATAGATGGAGGAAAAGGAAATATTTTTGTTCGTCACGTGTTACGTTTTTCCGACCACGTTGTTGTAATCTGCAGCGTCATGGTCTACGGTATAAACAAAATATTTCTGCGATTTGATATTTGTCGAACACCGTTCGAAGTATGCAGCAACAAAAAAACGTTGCTCCTATTTACTTCAGCGTGGACACGGCTTTAGACTCGTAGGTACGGTTGCTCGAGATCCTCGATAACATTCGCGGCACATTCTTCGCTGATGCTCCACTCGCCCTTCCCATTCAATCTTTCGAGAGAAAGAGAAAAATCGATTTCTCACTAAGGGATACAAAAGCTTTCACATTGGCGCGACGTGAATTTTTATCGAATATCGATTTTGCTCGGTTCGGCGGATCGTCCGTTCGGTCTGGCGTGTGTCGCCGTTGAAATACGAGACACGATAAAACCGCATCCGTCCGCTGGAACAAAAAACAGAGGAGATCATGGTCGGACTCCCTTCGCCGGGGAATCGGTGTCAACGAGACAAATTGCCTGAAAAAACGACCGAGAAAACCCCGAAAGTCAGCCGGATGACCCGGTATGCGAAACCAGAATTCGGTAACAAGCCGCCTTCAGCCCTCGTGCTCTCTTTCTCTCCGACTGTAATCATCGAGTTTTTCTCCTATCGGTCAGGCTGCACCTGCTACTGATTCAATTACGTTCACACGATGTACCCGGCGCGTTCGCAGGTTTTGCGATCCAGCAACAAGGGGCTGTAACTTTGTTCCGAAATCAGATTGTTAGCGAAACGTGAAGAAAGGAAGTAGAGTGGATATAAGGGAGAAGAGTGCGGTATCAGGGAGCGTTCCTTTAGATTCAGATGGCTACTTGAAACTTCTTTCGAGGAAGAATGTTGTTGAATGGAAAGAAGAATCGAGCAGCAAAGAAAGTGTTTTTAGCCTTTTTACGTTTGATGTTATACGTACGCAATTATGTAACAGTGAAGAAATGAAACAGTTGGTCAAATAAATTGAACGATTGTTCAGATATACAAAACAACAAAACCATAAAGTCAATATCGTAAGAGACAACTAGTAATTAAACATTTTCGATTTCTTTATTTATATTCTTCTTTATTTACATTTTTCTTTATTAAATAATCCTTGTTATCTTATTTAAGTTCCTCGTCCTTTATTATATAATTCCTTTTTGCTAATTTACATACACTTGCAACTAGGAACTGCTCGAAATGGGCATTCACAAAGGAATAGTCAGAGTTTCCCTCGCTTGTATAACAGCGTTCCACTGCGATTCGCGTCGGGCTGGAAATCCTGTTAAATCAATACCCTAATTGACCGAAGCGACTCGTGTGTAAACGCGCGTGAACGCGTACGCACGCAGCGCCGTTTCGCGTAATATTCAAGCAAGGATCTTCACAGCGTGGAAACATGGCCAGCTGGTCGCGATCGTGCGTTACACCATATCTCACGGTTTTACTACCATGCTGTTTCATTTATTTGCATAATAGCCGCTGATGACTCGTCGTAAAGACGCGCTGCAAACGCACAGACCTCGCCCTCTTTCGTTCCCTCTTGTATCTTTCATTTCCATTCATATTCATCCTTTTTTCATAGTCAAGCTTCGCCTCCAACAGAATATTTCGATTCTCTTCATATTGCATTTACCTTTTACATCGACAAGTTTTAATATTTTCTTTTAATCACGATTCTTATTCAGAATCGGAACAGGGTCGAACTTGGAAGACAAAACAGTCACTGACTCTTACGTACACTCGATACCACTTTAGAATATAAATATAAAGTTTCAAACGAATAAAATGAACTTACTACTTGAGTAGCTACACTCCAGCGAGTTTTCTCTAAGAGCCACTCTATATCACAGTTCGAAGACAGAAAGTCGATCGACTCTTGGCGTATGTCGTACGCACCTGGTGCGTCGCATTTATCACGATCAATACTTATTAATCGAGAGTCGATTTAATTGAATCTCTGGAGACCCCACCCATCGCGAGGTAAGAGAGCTTGGGGAGATATATCGATTTCCCTCGCGACTACATACTGACCTCTTCGTCACGATATTACGCCGCATTAAATTCAGGTTAGCGCGCTGGAGGACTCATAAGACGCGGACGCAAAAATTATGAATCCCGTGAAAGGTTTCTAGTACAAAGGCACGGCTGAACGGTCCAGTGCAATCGCACATTTCATTAAACCGTTACAGTGTGACGAGTTCTTTCGCCCGGGACTGTAGAAAGGCGCGCGAACAACGATTGTTCCGCCATTCCATTTCGTTCCAGTGATATAACATTATGAAAAACCAGACGTCGAGACTTTAAAATTAAATCGTTGAAACTCCCTTTTTCTCTGGTCTTCGGTTGTAAAATGTAGTAAGGTAGGATTGTTCCAGTCACCTGTGTTTCAACGTCTTAAAATTCAGTCTTGATCTTTAGGCGAAATAATCAAACGTTTTGTATGTTATGAGAGCAATTAATCTTTAACGTAAATGATAACGAAAGAAGGAGAAAATATTCGCGTACCCTGTGATAGTGTAGTTTAACCGAAACGAGTTAAACCGAGGACGCAAATGCCTCTCGATAAACACGGTCGTTAAGCATTCTATCTTATAGTACGAAGGCTATTTTTCGATACGGAAAAACGACGAGTTCGTGAAAATCCAGGTCGAAGCATTAAAATCAACTTACGAAAGAGTTGAAACTATTAGTTGGGAAATTAAGAAATTACTTAAGAATGAAATTAAAATTCCTCTAAATTCTACGATTAATTCCGATTAATTAATTAATAAATTAAGAAGGAATTTGTTAATTATTTTGTTTCTCAAACATTAAATTTAAATTAACTTTAAATTACATAGAAATAGAAAACTTGATAATAAAAAATTATTTTATGTAGGATGAAGAGTGTGAATTATTATGTAGCATATTTTTCTCCTATCACTTCGCATAAACGTAGCCTACAAAAGTCTGTAAAATTCGACTTCGCACGATTTCTCGCATCGAGAGCGAAAATGTGACCTAGGGATCGTACTTTGGCACGGTTCCAAGGCACGCGAGGAACGTGAGGCATTAGGCATGCTTATTAGTAACAGAAACTGAAGAGAAGCGACAGAAGGAGCCTCGTACACGTATCTGCACGCGCGCACCTGTATGCAGCGGTGCATCGGAAATTGCCGGAGCTGTGGCATAGGCAATAACGCGAGCCATACAGGTGTAACTCGGCCCGTGGATAACTGGACGCACACGTAGCCGTGTCCCGATGGGATTAGACGAAGAGTTTTGCAACTGTGCCACCGGTAGCCGGTCGCAATTTGCATGATTTCCGAAGATTAACCTTGTAGCGCGCGTAACAATGCCCTCGAGCTAGAGCTGCGCATTTTCTTCATGGAAGGATTATATCGTTTCATAGCCGCGACGAGAAACGTCGATACACGGCTGTCGCGTATTTCCACGACGAAGAAATAGATGAGTCGAACAGGAAATTGGAAACACGCGGAGGATTGATATTCTATAGCTGTTGAACCAACGGCATCGATGAATAGTTGCTTGATTCGCGTAAGGTTCAGCTTCTTCAATCTTGCGGATTTTATACGGCAAGAAAGAAAGGTCATTCCTTTTTGTAGCGTTGATTTGTCCTCCTTCGGTTCTGTCGATGAAATACGCGTTTTGCGATGGAACGTTATTCGTTCGTTCATTGAGAATTGAACGTGAATCATGTACCTGGGCAACGAAATTCTGTAACTTGTAAAAGGTAGAGTTGATCATTCAGCTTCTGAGAGGCAGATAAGTAACGTAATATATTTCTAATGATTCTGATTTCTGATTTCAGGGATCAGGATGCGGTGGATCGGTTACGTGGCCACAATTCTCTGGTGGTCGGGCATCGCCAGGTCCCTCAGTACGCTGAATCGAGGTCACAGTCAGTAATACTCCTTTTGGTGGTTTTAAACGCGAGTATTTCAGTAGCAGGCGCGTTCCTTTCCTCGTGTCTCCCCGAGCTGACTTTCTTGGCTGGACCACTTCCTCGCTCGAGACTCTCTCGCATGCTTTCGAACCAGAACTGGCCATTAATCGGATTCCCTTCGTTTTAATGCTATGCCTGACGTCCTGCGCATTTAGATCATTCTCTCTCTCTCTCTCTCTCTCTCTCTCTCTCCCTCTCCTTCTGACTCTCCCAATTTCCAAGCAGTAACAGTTTCCGATCGAAAATACACACTGTGACTTCAGACGGATACTTACCTTTTTCATTTAGGTAGAAATGGCTAGTTTTGACTGTAACCCTTCGTCGTTAAACGTTCTCCACTCTCCATCTTTCTTTCCTTCATCTGTTCGAAACCTGTTTCTCTTTCTTCATTGAGACTCCTCTAAAATGTGTAACAGCTAATTGGACAAGGAACTCGGTCAAGGTGCAGTCGGTCGTCTGCTTCGCGGCCGTGGGAAAGGAAAAGCGAACAAAGGGGGCGACTTTCATCTTCCCTGTGTCCTGAACAACCACCAGAGATACGAAATAAGAATGGAAAAGTCTTCCACTTCTCATTAACCCTGCACTGTGTACCAGAAAATCTGCACGTCTCATTTCTGCACTGGTACTAACGATAATTGCGCTGGAAAATTAATGTACCGTATGCCGTACCATTTAAACTGTCTACAGAAGTATGATAAATTCAAAGTATTCATCTCGACGACTTTCCTTACGCGCTCGCGATATTAATAGCAAATTAATATCTTCTGCTACCTTAGCGATGGTAACGTAATATTCCTATCCCCGTTTACCAACTGCATTATGTACACAGTCATAACGAACGTGAACGTAATTACCGTACCAGTACCATACTACCCGCCTCTACGTTGCTAAACAACGAGCTTTAATATCCGTCTTTAATTACTACCTGGGACAATGCGGAAAATCGTGCGCCAGCAAAAGAGACTGATCCTCTATCAACCACTCGTGGCACAGAAACCTATGTTCCGTTTCATATTTCCAACAGACAATTCAGTCAAGCATTCTCGTCCCTTTTGTACCTCCACAGAGGTGTCACGGATGGTCCATAAAGGTTTGAAGCTTCATGGAATAATCCAGGATCCAAAGGACGTCGCGTAAAGTAGTTTTAGCGATGAGGTAGTGAAGCTTTAGAGAGTGTTATCTGTCATAGTATGATATTATAAAGTCGTAACTTGCAGGAGAGTTTAGTTATTAATATTGACGTGATTTATCGTTGTTTTCGCGATGGATATAAATTTTACGTAACGAAGAACGTGGAACAAAAAATATATACGTACGGCCTAGCTGAAAAATGTTTGTCTGAAGACTTCTGAGCAGAAGTATATTCGCTTTCTATTCGCGTATACTTTTGATAGAAATACAATCAAGCATTCTATCGTTTCACCGTAACAAGATAGTTGGAACCAAGTCATCTATTTCTTACGATTCAAGCCCCTGCAACTATCATAGACAATGTCCTCTGATCCATGAGACTGTATGTCTTCGCTGTCGGCCATTGTTTCTCCCCACGAAGACGAACGAACGTCGACCACCGATAAAGTTTTTCTTTAATTAACGCGGTAACGTGGTATAGGAGAAAGCGAGACCGTGAAGGTAGAGACCGCGACAATTTACGTCGGTTTACGCGCTCTTACTGTCTCGGTTAACGACCTGGCCCAGGTCTACGTACTCCCGTACACTTCGACGATCGACCACACGCTTTTTCCTTGCTTCTTTCCATCCTTTTCCTTTTTGTTTTTCTTTTTTCGCGTACGTCCCCGACTTCACGTGACTACGAGCACTCCAAGAGGATCACGGCGCACTTTCACCAACCAACGAAAGATTCTATCGAAGGTTGAGCACGTTAACGACGCTCCAATTACCGAACTCGGATTCTGTCTCAAATGGTACCAGGTCCTTTTAATTAGCGATTTACCCGAAATCCAAAGAAGAATCGCACGGTGTCGAAGAACTATCGATCCAGCAGTTAGTCCTTGAACGAGAGAAACGATTATTCCTCGAACAGCGCGACCTCGCAGGTCCCAGGATGCCTGCGTTAATTATAAAGCTTTGTTGGTACGATATCGAATGAGTTAAACAGTTACTCATCACGCACTACGCGGTTACGAGATATAGGTCAACAGGCGCATCGTTGAAAGTTTAGTTCAACGTGTTCGAGATAAGGAAATAAGCGTCCATTGAGTTCATGAGGTATTCTCGTTAGCCAGGCATTAGTATAATAGATCGTTACGGGCCATTAAAATCGATTCTAGTTTCGATGTAAACATTGCTATTAGAAGGATTTAATTGTCCATTTATTGGCCTACTTCTAATCTTCGTGCAGATGCGCGATACACATGTTGGAATAAAGAAAAATTCATAGGATCAAAATTTATCATGAAAGTTATCGACTTAACGTTCCTAATCTATAACAGAAATCACGTTCCTTCTCCTTCTGGTTGATATTTGACACAAATTCATCATATGGGTTTGACAGAGCAGTCGATAAATGTCATGAAACGTGTGAAATAACATTGTCTATCTCCGCTGTTTCATATCCTTCCATGTTCACCTAGAATACAATTCGCCAACGTAGAATAATCGATTGGATGACGATGGATAACAGGATGATAGAAGCTCCCAGAACGCCTCAAAGTCTAGATCCAAGATACTTCGACCGTTTCTTAACTTCTTACAATGCTAACCATAAAGAAACTTCGGAAAAATTAAAATGTGGTACCAAAGATGTCAATCATCTATGCGTAGGTTACAAAATCACCCCGAAACCCTGTCGAGTCCCCGGGCCAGAGTCCAAAGAAGGCACGTGCATGTTCGTGTGGGAGTGCATTAAATCAGAGGGCACGCACGTGGGCGTGTGCGTGGACACGTTCATGTTCGGCAGCTGTTGTGTGCACAATACGACAACGAACGCGATCACCGCGTCCAATCTTCAACACCACCAACATCAGTACCATCAACACGCTTCATCCTCCTCATCTGATCCATTGAGACCAACCCTAGCGGAGGCACTGGGCAACGAATCGACCAGGCCAACGTTGACCTCCCTCTCCAGCTTCCTCGTCACGGACTCGAGCACCGCTAGACCGAGTCACCATCCATCCGAGACGCCGGTATCTTCCGGAGGGTCCAGCAGACCGCACAAACCGCTCTCGGCCGGTTCCGCTAGGCCGCTGCAAAAAAGACCGCACGCGAAACCCACGTCCGATCACAAGGACAGAATTCAAACTTCGGCGGTGCCTGCCTCGTCGAATTTCTGGGAGAAGGGCTCTCAGAGCACGAAGAGACCAGGTTCGTCAGAATCTTGGGACAAAGGGTCTCAGAGCACCAAGAGACCTGGATCTGGATCCTCGGTTCATTGGGAGAAAGGATCTCAAAGTACTAGGAAACCTATATCCTCGGATCTGTGCGAGAAAGGATCTCAAAGTACTAGAAGACCTGGATCCTCTGATCTGTGCGAGAAGGGATCTCAAAGTACTAGGAGACCTGGATCTTCCGAGCTTTCGGAAAAGGGATCTCAGAATACTAGGAGACCAGGATCTTCCGAGCTTTGGGAGAAAGGATCACAGAATTCGAAAAGACCTGGAGGTGTTTGGGAGGATAGTAGTCAGAATACGAAGAAACCTGGTCATCATGACTCCTTGAATATTCAGAAGACAAGACCGGAAAGTGGTCAGCATACAAATATCAAAGAGAAAGATACGACGCATGGAAGTTTTCAGAGTCATCTTCAGGGATTCAAGGATAAGGTGGACACTGGACACAATACATTGGTGATTAGATTACCGGCGAAAGAACATGCTTCCAGTGAAGGTGAAGGTATAAGGCACAATAGGCCTAACAACCAAAGACCGTCCGAGTCGAGACCGGATGATAGTAAGACCGGGGATGCTGATTTGAGCGTGCAAGAGTCGATACATAGACCCAGTGTTAATTCAGTCGATGAAAATGTGAGTATTTGGTAATAACGTTCTAAAATAGCTGTTCTTATTTCGGGCTCTTTATATAATACAATAGAACGTATACGGTTAATGAAACTTTACAAATTCCAAATTACGAGTTAGTAGTATCACAAATTGCCAATATTATCTAACAAATTCGAAATACTTAAATCTCGAGGGACTCGAATTAAAAATAAAATTCAGAAATGTTTTATCTTCCATCCAGGAATCTGTCAAGGACCCTCATCCAAGTTTGAACTTCATTCATACGGAACGTCCACAATGGGCGACCAAACCAGTATCCCCGAAACCTACAACAGACTTCTCGAAACCATATTTTTCGATAAAAACGACCACCACCTCTCGACCGATTCTGATGAACGATCAGCCAGATACCAGGCCGAATTTCATCTCAAAACCCAATAGTCCCAGCACGGTTACGAAAACCTCCACCACTGTCAGACCGACATATTTCAGTCAACAGTCCACTACCAGGTATTCGACTATGTCTTTACGTGACTTAAAATCGTAGCTTGAAATTTTTATTGAAAATTCTTTTTGTATCGTTTCTAAACACTCTAAAAGTATATAAAATTCACCTGAAGACTTTCATTATGAATTTATACTGTATTGCTAATACGTATAACAATATGTTTCAATGTTTGCAAATGCACAAGCCATAAATTCACATACAGAATTTTATCATCAGATGCCCTGGAAATATGGCATAATAATATTTCAAAGTCCGGAAGCATAGAATTTTCTATTAGAAGTATGATCTTAGCCACAGCTTCCTCGAATGAAAAATGTTGTCCTGTGTGCCAATCTTCTTCCTTTGAGCCCCTCGATTAAAGTCTAATTTCAAATTTATTAACTTACTCCATAAGTAATTAGAACAATCGAGCGAAACGACGGTGTTCGAGCGCCAGCTTCAAGCTTTTCTTTCATTCTAGCGCAGCCGGATCCTTGCCACAGACCTCTCACTGGCATGTGACCACAGAGCCCGTGTTCGTCACGAAGCAAAGACCGTTGTCGTCCACAAAGCCGATGGGCTCACCCGAGACTACTAAACCTTTGACCAGCAGTTCGCATTTCTGGTCGGAAAACAGTTGGACGCCGCCGAGACCGTCCTTGAAACCGCACTGGACTGACAATCCTAGCCTTCTTCAGAACGGGCCCGAAGCATTTCCACCGCGGCCGAGTTTCAAACCGACCGAACCGCATGAAGTACGTCCAATCACTTGTTCATCATGTCGAACCTCTAATCTGCTTAATTTAAAAATATTTTGCAAGTTGCAGTTACGGATAATCTTTATCAAAATATCACTGGAATAACACGTCATTCTATCGATCCTATAATTACTTTTTCACCTGTTTTCACTTAATTGCTGCAATAGAATCATCCATAGTAAAGATCCTTTAATAATTTTGTCTAGTGTTGCCAGCTATTCAAATAAGGAATCGACTCGTGGCCAATTAACAAGGCGCTATCGTATACACATGCTAGATCGTATCAGTGTAATTCATAATTAATTTACAATTCATAATATTCATAATTCATAATGTGATTCATAATGTAATATTCATAATTCATAATTTGATGTGTTCATAAGATCATAGAATTCTTAAATAACTCGAGGATCCTCGGTTCCTCGCCGCTGCCACGCTGCTCATAATCACGAACGCTTCTTCCTCACACGAAAGATATAATGCTTCCGTGTCTTATCTAGAGATTGGTTCCCCTCTAAGCAATAGCTTCATCGTGTTGTATCCTCGATCAAGAATATACTCTCTGTACCCCGCGGTACAATTAGATTCTATCGGTACTCGTCATAGGAAAAACATCGTTTCGCTAAACGAAAGAAAACATAGCGCGACTTTTTGTCAAAGATTACTGTTAATCGCAACAAAGAAACGGCGGATCGGCCTTCGGCTCGATTACACAGTCCATCGAACAGCATGATACAAAATGAACGAAGAACTCCATCTACCATCTTAAAAAACTAATATTGGCTTGTGCGAAAAATTTATTGACAAAATTGAAAAATATTATGTCTTTATAGAATTCGTATATCAGTAAACAATATATATATATACTATCTCTTCATAATCATTGATTCTCTCTCACATATAGAAAATTAAGAAATTCCAACATCGCACATGAAATACTCGGATAACCAATCCAACTAATATTTATATATTTCTTTTTTATAGAACACGGAGTTTCATAAACCGCTTGGCGCAGCACACTACATCACCACGTCTCACTTTGAGACTTCTGCTAGGCCTAGACCCACAAAGAAGACTACCACTTCTACGACAACTACCACTAGTACCACTACAACTACTACCAGTACGACCACGACCACGACCACCACGACCACCACGACCACTCCAAAACCTGACACGACAGTGTCTACGACCGAGGCAGTCGCGAAAACTGGATCGGTGTTAACCGTGTCTGCCGCGACTGAAAGCAAGGGTATGCAGTGCGGAGTACCGCCCCTGTTTCCAAGACCGGAGACCAGGATCGTTGGAGGCAAGGACGCACCGTTCGGTCGATGGCCTTGGCAAGTATCTGTTAGGCGTACTTCGTTCTTTGGCTTCTCCAGTACTCATCGATGCGGAGGAGCGGTGCTGAACGAGAACTGGATCGCGACTGCGGGACACTGTGTAGACGAGTGAGTAATATTCCTCGTTCTATTATTAGGGAATTACGAGCTTCTTGGAACTTTTCACGACGATCGACATGTCACGTTTTTCTTTTTCCGAAAGCAATCGTGTAAAGAGCGTTACACTTTAGCACCAATAATTGAATATTCACCATTTTAATAACGCGATAGGATTTCTCAGAAGCAAGCCACATAAGAATAATTCAGAATATTAATTTCAAAATTTGTCAAAAAATGATAGAACAAAAATAGCGAAAAAGAAAATCTACGATCGTTGTCAAATGTTGCCGCTTCTCGTATAGAAAATGAAGCTCGATTAACCCGAATACAGAGTCGAACAGCTTACCTGTTTCTTCCAATAGCCACTAAAATGCAAAACGAAACAAATATTTGTTATCGATTCTGTTATAGCCTGCTGACCTCGCAGATCCGGATTAGAGTGGGCGAGTACGATTTTTCGTCTGTGCAAGAACGATTGCCTTACGTTGAGCGTGGAGTTGCGAAGAAGGTGGTGCACCCGAAGTACAACTTCTTCACTTACGAATACGATCTGGCGTTGGTTAGATTGGAAAGCTCATTGACGTTCGCGCCGCATATTTCGCCGATTTGCCTGCCAGCCACTGACGATCTTTTGATCGGCGAAAATGCGACTGTCACCGGCTGGGGAAGATTGAGCGAAGGTGGTACACTACCTTCTGTGTTGCAAGAGGTAAAATTGTGTGAAGATTGTCAAGTGTAAGCTTCAGCAATTTTAGAGGTTCGATTCGCTGTATACCACGTTTTAACGGAAGATTTGTAATGAGTTTGCGGATTTGTAGATAAATTTATACCTTTTTATTAACACGATTAATGATACGAAACTTAATCCTGCTGTAGTTTTCGAATATTTATCTTATTTTTATTTTCTAGTACTTACTTTGAATAGTTTGTATATTAGGTACATTAAGATAGATACGGAATTGTTAATTTAGAAGAGGGTTGCGTATCTATTGCAGGTTTCCGTGCCCATAGTGAGTAATGATAGGTGTAAGTCAATGTTCCTGAGGGCTGGGAGACACGAGTTCATACCAGATATTTTCCTGTGCGCCGGATACGAAAGTGGAGGCCAAGATTCTTGTCAGGTACCCTTTTAAATTCCATATTCATTTTATATTTTACACTTTATATATATATTCTATCATTTAGTTTACTATTTTTCTGTATATATATATTTTATTATACAGGAATAATATCCAAGATTCCAGTTGTCCCACCAGGACGACAATGTATGAATATTCTTTCAAATATTAGATTCGTATTAAAATTGATATTGTTCTGAAACCAAACAAATTTTTGCCGTGTTTCCAAGACTCAGAAAGGCTTCTTACGTGTAATTTTCAGGGTGATTCGGGTGGTCCTCTCCAAGTAAGAGGGAAAGACGGTCGGTACTTCCTCGCTGGCATCATATCCTGGGGAATTGGTTGCGCGGAGGCCAATCTGCCAGGCGTGTGTACCAGGATCTCCAAGTTCGTACCATGGATCCTGAAGAACGTCACTTGACCCGGTTTCCAAATAACCATTTGCCACAGGACCTTGTCGACAGCTTGCGACGAACCGACTGTCCGAATAGGAGTTCCAAGCGTAACTCTGCACGTTTCTTCGATTTCTTAACCGAGGGGTAACCAGGAGATTGCACGAATCACTGCCAAATACGTAAGACTTGTCGAAGAAAACGGGACTCGAGCAGGAATGGTTCTCGTTCTTCTTCGAAGACGAAAAAAGCAGGAGAGAAAAAAGGAATGGTAGAAAAGAAACGAGAGATATAAGATATATATGTATCTATACATTGGATAGAAGTTTGAGAAACTTCTATCTTAAAGACTGCTACTCGGAAAGCGAAGCCAATCAAACACAGACCGCGCGAGACTGTGGAGATCGTTATGGAACGATAAAAAGAAAATCACGCGCGTAGGACTGTATTTATATATATAAATATACATATAAATATAAGTAAGATAATAATATATTTCTCAGCCGCGAACGAACCGCGTGTTCGTCTGCCAGTTTTTTGCTAGCCTGTACATGAATATATAAAAAGAAAGGAAGTCTAAGCGGAGAAATAGCTAACGGCTTGACGTTGAAACGCCACGTTAAAGAAAGGACGTAAATAATTAAAAGACGCGGTTTCAACTGCAAGCCCTATGATTATGCATCTATCTTACTCAAATTGTATAGCGAATTCTGTAAAATGCTAAGTTCTTGCCCATCGCCCTTAATAATCGTCTATTAATCGAAAAGCTAAATTAATCTTCTCTCTCTCTCTTTCTCTCTCCCTCTCCCTTCGTCACTCTTTTTCTCTCTCTTTTTCCCTTCTTTATTTACAACGTACGGATATTTTTGTACAGACATCGTGTACTTAAAGGTAGGTGTGTGCGAACTAGGAAAGATCTAATAAATATAAATATATATATATGTGTGTAATTGTTTATAGATATATAACGATATTTATAAGTATGTCAAATAAACATATGTGTTTATTACTACCCGGAACTTGTCCATCTTTGTTCCCAAGTAGATTAAGAGTTACAAAATTCGCGAATTGAGCGGATCGTTAACCCGACCAGCGATCAAAGCTACCGAAGTCTCTGCGTCGACGATGAAGTAGAGGAACGGATGGACAACTGTAAATGGCACTGGCCCTGCCCTCTCGAATAATCCATTTCCTACAAAGAAAAATTCCTTTTAAATATCTTATTCGTAACTCTAAACGCTTACTTATTAAAACTCGATAAAATTATATAATTGAGAAGCTTTCCAAAAAATGGGTCCATAAGACAAGACCAAGGGTTCCATAAGACTCTTTCTCAAGTATATCGTGTTAAAGTAGCTCTTAGCTATTAAACTTAGTAACTAAATTAAAAAACCAACAAACCATAACTACTTATGTTATTTCCAAGTGATCTTCTTTTATTATAGACCTATAGACCCTTTTTCCAGAAATCATCTCAGTTATAAGCTAATACAGTGCAAATGATAAAGAAGTTTTAAGTAAATGAAACGAGTAACAAGGAGTCTGAAAAATTGAGAGAGAGGATGAAAATTGGAAACAAGCAGCTGACAGATTAATGAAAATATTTACGAGCTGCATTCCTTGTAACGATTCAGGAATTCCTAGTAGGCATAACGGAGAACGAACGCAAGGTCTTTTTATTTCCCTCGGTGAGTCAGGCACACAGGATATCAGTGATTAAATCCAGCCGACATTATAACAATACTGAGAATATTCTTGATCGTGGCCGGCGTCGATTACAATAAACCGGAAACGACAGCTCTTGGACGAACAAACAACGAATTAGCGACGATTCGACATTCGACAGACGATCGAAGGAAAGGCGAATCTCTCAGAATCTTTGCGTAATCAAACATCTAATGACTTCGCGGTAAAAGAGAGAAATTAACTATTATATGGATCTGTTTTCTTCCTTTCAAAGAAAATAAACTAACAGCGATATTTGTTCAATTCTCACGATGCAGTTTGCTGATACGACGTTGGTTGCCAGTCAACAACCTCGACGAGTGAGTGTATCGAGTTACAGATCCGGCAATCTACCAACGATGAGATAGTCCCTTGACGAATCAATCAAATTCGGCGCAGTTCGCGATGCCCCGATCTTCGCGAAGATTTCTATTTCACCGCGTGTCTCTAAAAATTCCGTCTTCCACAAACACATATTCTTAATATTAAGAAAAATATAATAAAATTCTAAAATAAATCCTAAATCTGAAATCTAGATCTACAAAATTCTAAAGGTATGATCAAATCAATTCTGAAATTAATTTTATAGTAGCTAAATTTGTTTTCGCCGGTTAAAAAATGTTTTTATTAATGATTCCTTTAAAATGTCTTTGTTTAATTATGAATTCGAAAATTTTTATGAAAGAGATGTAGCATAGCAGTCACATAGATGGATATCGTAAATCGAATTCGTAAGAGATACACTCTGGCTGACAGAATTTACGTAGCAATCTAATACGAAGAAGAAAATAAAAAGGAAGGGGAAACTGATCAGACACGCGCCAGTAGTAACGGCAAGGCATCGTCAGACACTTGTCCGCCGCGCGTCCACCGATATCTTGTTGTTTGCGAACGACATGCACCGTAGAATCGCAATTTCACCTGTGGATATTGCGTCACAGCGATTACCTGATCGAACATTGCTAATCGCTGATCGCTTCCTCCTACGATAATCCGAGATATCCTCTTCTGTTTCCCATACAAGAGAAATTCGAGACTCTCCGACATCCTCTAACAAGAGTATAATTCTATGGAAAAATTTGTAAAAATTCTAGACCTCGCGGGAGGAAGATACTGGATAAAAATATTGGAAAAATTCTTGCGAAGGAAGAATGCTAGGTCTTCTAAAATATTTAACGCCGCCATATATTTACGTAGCTCTTGGAGTTTGAAGTTATAAGGAAAGTAGAGGAAGAGTGCAGTAGAACGAAGAAAGCAGAGAACAGAAACCTGGATGATAGTATCGATAATAGTCCCGACGCAGTGGAACGATCAATGGAGGATCGGTAGGACGATAAGTCGACTCACGAGAGTGGGTTCTGTCGGGTTTCATATAGTTTCTGATGTTCACCCCGATACTCTGTTGCACGTCTCTGGCGTACACACCAAGATCTGGTGTCATTGGTGAGAGGTCGGCGGTTCTAGGCTCGAACACGTCCAGAATTCCCAACTGAAAATGAAATTAATTTTTTATAACGAAGTATTAAAAATATATAATCAAATAACGGGAAAAGTTATCAAGACGATAATTAGAATCGTTAAATAACGCGGTTCAAAGAATATGGATAAATGATAAAACGCTGGTAAAAATCGTACATTGTCAGGCAAAGTCAACGACGATTTTAAATAATCCTATTCGACCGCGTGAAGTGGCTCAATAGAACAAAAGACTTTAACTTCAAGAGTCAAATTATCTCAAGCTGAACATCGTCTATTCAAAGGCACTAAAACCTGTGAGAATGCTGAAATAACAGTGGAATCGGTCGTAAAACTCGCGACTAGAATAGTGCCGGGCCCAGAATTACGTCTATTAAACAATTCTCATTTTTCGCTGTGCGCTTCGAATTGTCGTGAATTACGTGTCGTCAAGAAGGCTACGCGTTGTGCCGATCGCTCTGCTTCGCGGAATACAGCCGTGACGAGAAACGGAAAGTGCGCTCAAGATCTCTAGACTAACGCGATTAAGTAATTAGGCGCTTAATGGCCGCGACTAATGGCAAAATATCGAGCGGCGAACACCGGAAAACACGGTTCGGCCAGGTTTTCAGAACCGTTCCCTTTTGATCTATTAAAATTTATTCTTCAATGATTCGATCTATTTCGGGAGGAAAAACAAACTGAATAACTATTTAAGTTTTTTTGTAACGAAATTGTGCTTCGTACCCTTTGCAGGAAAGACGTTAATGTGACAAAACCGCGCAACATAAAGGACGGAATGGTGGCCCTGACCCAAGTAGCCTGCAACTGCTTCCGCAAGAGTCTCAACGATTTCCCTCCAAGATCTCTGGCCAAACGATACGTGTCCCTTCTGTCTGTCGCCATCATTAGCAGGATATTGTACCTTGGGTCCTGTAATAACGAGTTAGAAACGTAATTTCGTACAGAAATCATTCGATGACTCTTTACGTTCAGGATCCTCTTGTATAATTAAACTACCGTTAACGGTGAAACTTGGCAAGTCGCGAGTTACTAGCTATCAGTACTAATAAATTCTCTCCTACGGCAATCATAAATTTAATGTTAAAGTAAATTAAATTTCACGAATGAATTTTACAAGCTGCCACTCGTTTCACTATTCTGTATAATATAAAATTGCAAAGTTATAGAAGTCTACAACGTACAACTTGTAATTTTGCAATTCTAATATTTTTTGTTAGTAAATCTTTATTATTTATTTCAAGTATCTTTATTAATCGTTCCATTATTCATTAAAGCGACGATATGCCGCAGTAACTATATGTGAAATTTTTAAAAAATTGTCACACATCGATATTATGTATAATCATTTATCTGTTGATCAATATATACTCTTTGTATTGTAGATTTTAAAATGGAGGACAACATAATTGTTCGTGTGTCGCCGCAGTAATTATAGATCATATCAGTTTATAGTTTTCTGCATACGGGCGGTACGGCCGTACGACATACATTTAGATGAATAATTATAATAGTAATTATTAAAATAAATATATGTTTGAGAGCTTTTCGTGGGAGAAAAATATGGTTCTTACATCAAGTGGAAACTCAAGTGCAACTGCGTGCAGCGATGGAAAATAGGCAAAAGGTAGAACTGCGAAGTATCTGGAAGCCGTAACGGAGGAGACATCACAGCCGTTTACTAGGAACGATATCTCCGTCGAGTCTCTGACGGATGCCTCGTTCAAGGTCGTGGAATAAGGCTTCCAGATTCCTAGGTCCTGCATCCAAATTCCTTCGTCTGAAATGCAAAAAATAGAACCATAGATAGTAGAAAAATTCTATTAAAAAATTATTTTCCGACACAAGTTACGAAATTAATAGTTGAAAATTAAATAGTCTAGTCAACACGTCAAAAAGATTGTTCTACGTGTAAAAAACACAGATGACTACAAAAACTTGATACTGTGAAAATGAAATGTAGAACTCGATACGAAAGAGTGCTTCGTTAGAAAATAGGAGTATGCGCCAATACTTTTTGCAGCTACGCTAATATAAATACTCTATAATGTTACTCTTCAAGGATAGGGAGACACGAAAACACAAAAGAAGACAAAAAATCTACAAACTGTATAGCGTGTCAGACAACCACTAATTTATCCCAATTTCTAATCTCTATCTCCCTTTTATTTTTCACGGATCCTAATACAATAAACCAACCAGATTCATCAGCGCTTTAAGATCCTTCGCCATTCGTCTTAATCATTTTCTACAAAATTCTCCACACTCATCTCATCCATCCTGTTAATCAACGTATAGAGGAATGAAAGAACGAATAACAGAAAAAGAAGAATAAAACAGAAATAAAACACTCTACCTGGATAGCTAGAGAAGAATCCCCTGGGGCTCCTGTCGCTACGTTTCCTTCGATTCATCATCGTGCTCGAGGATACAGTGGTCAGCTGTCCAGTCGACCCGGTTTCACTTGTGGTCGTGACTGGCAAATCGGTAGATCCCATCTCGTTCGGGATAGACTGATTGTTCGAGCCCGTTGAAACGGTATTCTCATCAGCAGGTGGTCCATTCGTGGACGACGCCTCGTTCGCCTGAGTTGGGATCGTCGAACTCGTTGAAGCTTCTGTGACATTTGCTGCTGACGTTTCTGAAGTTTCTGCGGATAACGCGATGACAGTAGTTCCGGTAGTTGTTGACGTAGAACTTGGCGTAGAGCCTGTTAACGCGGTCGTTGACTCCGTGATGGGTTCCGTCGTCATCACAGATTCGGTGGCCTGATCGGTAGAAACGGTCGTCTGTCCAATAGCAGATGTAATCGTCGATTCTAAATTTGTTTCCATTGATGTTGAAAATGTTACGGCCGTCTCCGAAGTTGAACTTGGAGTAGATATAATCGCAACGGTACTCGTCAAAGTCGATGGCGTACTTGATGTTCCATCAGCATTTGGCGATTGAATACTTGGTGTGGAAGTGACCATCGTTATAGGTTGAGCAGAATTTGTAACGGTTGTCTGCGGTATTTCAGAAGTTGTTGTAGTAGCTGCAGTAGTAGTAGTAGTAGAAATAACAGTGGTAGAAGTTTCAGATGAAGTTGTAATTGAACTAGGCAAGGTGCTCGTAGATGTAGTCATTGCCTCGGTAGATAAAGTTGTAACTAAACTAGGCAGGGTAGTAGCTACTGTAGCACCCGTTAAAACAGCACTATCAGAAATAGTTTGTGTCAATCTATCTTGCTCGTCTACGGTGCTTAAGGTCATTTCAATAAGTTCAACCATGGGAGTAGTGGACATTGGTATATCGCTAGTGACCTCAGAACTCTGCATAGTTCTTATTGTTGTACTTGGCGTAGTAGTTTCGTCAGGAACCAACGTTCTTGCTTCGGTCGTCGATTGTTCAGTCATCGCACTAGTTGTTTCTGGTACAGAAGTAGTTTCGGTTTCGTTGGTCTCCTCCTCAGGGATAGACAGATCGAATCCGTAGAACCGAAGGATGTCTTCGTACTCTGGCCTCAGTTTCGTGTTCTCGTGATTGAGCGTTAGACCCCCGAGGAATCCATCAGCGTTCAAATACGTCTTTGAAATACAGAAATAATTACTATAGACCCGTCACGGATGTTTGATTCGTTACGAAACTTGTTCGAAAAGGGCGATCGACCAGAAGAGAAACTGCCAGTTAAGGAAGAGAAATTACGCGTTCAAGCCTCAAATGAACTGACGCAGCAAATTTTCCGTGTTCCTTTACTGTGTCTAATCGCACTCATCGAACGTATTATGCAACAGTGAAGAATTTAACCCTCTGATGCTCGGATTTTTCCAAACTTACGAAGAATATAAAAGAAATAGCTGGCATGACAATTTATACATACACCGCTGCTCAAGATGCTCAGAACAGAGCAATGAAATATGAAGAGCACGAAAAGACGCAGTTTCACAGAAAGTCATAGCCTGCATTTTTTATAAGCGGGCTGTTTTGAAGTTCAGTGCATTGTCAATCAATTCCATATCGTCAAATTATTAAAATATTAAAATATTGAAGATACTTCTGGAGGGGTTAACGAGAGTCAGAAATGACTAGGATAATTCTTACCCTCAATCTACGATGGATATCGCGAAAACCGATCCTGGTGATGTCTCGATCTCGCGGTAGACCAAGAGCATCCGCGATTTGCTGTCTTCCTCTGCCAGCCGAGCCCTCGTAAAGTGCGGCCAGGATGAAGCCAACCCCCGTCGGCGAGAATGCAACGTTCCCGTGGGCCGTGTACTGTTGCAGAATCCGCACGCCTAGGTCGTTAATAACGTCCGTGATGATGTCGACCGGCCGATGCGGAACCGGTTGATACCAGCCGTCGAATCCCACGTTGTCGTAGCCGTGGACAAACACGGACGACACTGTTGGAGAATATTTTCATTGAATAATCGCATCATCTTAAGGAAGATTAATTAAATCCTAAGATACGGACAATTTCTCAAATACCAATTGACGTTGTTGGAACGTTTTCACTGAAAAATTATAGAATCTCAAAGAGGCTTGGTTAAATCCTAAGTTAAGGACTATTCCTCGAGCATGAACGACACTGTTGGAATATTTACCACAGAAAAATTATAAAATTTTAACAAGACTCGATTAAATCCTAAGTTAAAGACAATTCACCGAGTACGAACGACACCGTCGAAGAATATTTTCATGGAATCGTAAGGAAGATTAATTTAATCCTAACATAAATCGTGTATATATTGCGCGGAAATTGCAAAAGTTTAATACTCCGAACTGTCAACCAATAGACGAACATTAAATCGGAATAATAAAAGAAAAGGGAATAAAAATACGTACGCTGCAACAGGATCAGCCAGGACATCCAGGCGCCCATATTAATCGCGACTGGTTGCTGGATAACTGGCGGACGAGGAGCACAGGTCGACTGGCGAGGAGCATGGACAACCCGTCTCCTCGCGGATTCTCTCTCGATTTACGAAAGGAAGCGCAACACGGTGGCGCGGAAACGTGGGTCGACAAGCAGCTCTGTTAGGATTAGTCTTAGTCGTCCGCTCTCTACGTCGGAACTGGCTCGCGGATGGTG